CCCCAAAACCCCAAAACCCCAAAACCCCAAAACCCCGTTTTATTTTAAAAATTTGAACTTAAATTTAAATTTATTCATGGAGACTTACACTTATCATAGATCTGTGCCAAAATTCAGGTATTTCTCTTGCTCAAAATTTAGAGATACAATGGTTGTTGAACAGAAAATAAAGAATAAGCGTTCAAGCAAGCCGAAGAAAGCAAAGCGGTATTATTTTTGGACTAAACTTTTAGCCATTGAAAGTCGATGAGTCAGAAGAATTATGAGAAGATCGGGCAGCTTCAAAGTACAGTCAGAAGTCAACAAAAGGAGATAAAGGGCTATAAAACAGCAAATAGACAGCTTGAGAGGAAATATGAAAGGGTATTCAAGCATGTTATGAAATCTAAACCTGTTCGAAACTACAGATCTCACAGTAAATCATCAAAGCTTCTTTCTTGTGGCATCCCTAAATCACCTCTATTTCATGGGAAGGAAGTTCTAAAGGAGAGAAGGTACCCATTTGGATGTCAAAACAGTGATGCTAACAAATGTATGAATACTCTTAACTCTTTAGCCGTCTCTTCAAATGGGCGTAAAGCCTGTATGAAGCCTACAAAGGAGACTGATCCTGGCAATTACATTCATAAATGACAGAGACCTCCTAAGGCCAAGAAGAGGAAAGATTCTAAGGTAGATGCAAAGATCAGTAGTCTGAAGTCTTGCATTCAAAAGGCAATGACAGACTTTAAAGAGGCTGAGAGGGATGAAAAATAAGCATCTCTCCAAAAGAGTCAAGAGAATCGAACAAGTCTTTGAGCAGAGATATAAAGACTTACGCAAGGCTATTGACAAAGAGAAGAAAGCAGGTATGCGCTTGTAAGTGAGGCCTATAGCTATAAAAAGAGAGAAGGAAATAACCAAGCTCAGGTTGGAAAGAAAGGTAGAAAGACTTTGCAAAATCCTCCAAATGGAAGATGCTAGTCATCAAGAGGACACACTTCCTGATGAGGTTGAGCTAGATACAAATTTAAGAGACTCCATGATACACCAAAGTGCTAATGGGTCTGTGTTGACTGATATCAAGCCTAATATATCTCAGATTGAAGATACTAAAAATTTGAGCGTGATTGCGAGGAAAAGCTCTACTGGAAAAGATAGTGAAATTAGGATAGAGCAGCTAAATGGAACTAGAAACTTTCAAATGGAAAATAAAGAGAATATTGCATATAATCCTCAGGTATCTGGATTTATGACCTTAAATGCAAGCTCGAAGTATCCCAGGATGATGAATGAGGTACCTCCATCTTCTCTAATACCACAATGCTCAGTGTCTGGAAGCATTCAGAACAAGTAATCTTTGATTAATTCTTTAGTCTTGGATGTTCCAATATTGGTCAGTCATATGTGCAAAAGAATTACTCAACTGCCCCTCAAGCTTCTGGATTATTGAATCAAGGCTTCAAGCAGGTATGGATAATAGTAAATTTTAGAACAATGCTTATACTTATGATTTTGATATCTCAAGTAGTGATGACTCTGAAGATGACCTTGCAAGATTTGCTGCTGTGAGCCCAAGAATTAGGAACAAAATAGATACTCAAGAGTTGCTTAAGCCAACAGGTGTCGATTTCACAGCTTTGTGAGCAAACTCTACAACCCCTCAGGAGAATACCTTTGGAATGAAGAAAACCAGTAAAAATACAAATTTTGGTGAACTTGAATCAAGAGACACAAAGCATATGGATACCTCAGGTAGTGAGAACAGCGATGAGGAGATTAGTAGCATAGAGAAGGGCATCCAAAGATCCCTCGAACAAGTGACTAACAGGCTTAAGAAATGCTACTAACTAAACATTTGGTGTTTGAATCCTACTCAATTCCAATTTTAATTTCCTTAATAGGGGTTTTGGGGTTTTGGGGTTTTGGGG